GCCAAATGTGGCAACCATGTCTTTCCTTGTCATTTTATAGCAACCCTAAAACTGCTTTGCGGGGAAGCCATCTCTTCGCGCCTGTACATTTCGTAACTATATGATAGGTGCCTGACCATTCAGTAGCTTTAAGTATACCGGCCAGGTATGGGAAAAATGCATTTCAGGTTTTAGGTTTGTAGCTAAATATGTAATTTGGTACTTAACTGATAGAACATGTATAAGGTATTTCTCCGACCTTCGTGGTGTAGTGGTTTTGCACACTGGGCCGGTATTCCAGAGGTCCGTGGTTCGATTCCCGGCGAAGGCGTTTGCTAATTTTTCATCATGCCTACTTCCAAAAAATACCAAATGTCTCTACAGTGGCGCCCGAACTAAAATGGTAATGGATGATGACTCTCCACACCCAGGATTTGGCGATTGGATTTCCTAAAACCCCAGTCGCCCTTTAAAAAGGGGAGTATATAAGGTATTTCTCCCACTTTCCTAGCGTGCTTTCGTGGTGGAGTGGTTCTGCCGGTATTCCAGAGGTCCGTGGTTCGATTCCCGGGAAAGGTGTTTGCTATTTTTCATCTCTCCAGCTTTTCTACAAATATCCTAATGTCTCTACACATGTTTCAGACTTATGAGAAATTATATCGAAAACAAGAAGTCAATTTGCATATTTATCTCACGCCCGTCTTAAAACTTACTGGAAAGTCTTAATATCTTTTGTTTGAAAGCGAAGAAGACATTGATAACAAAATAGTTATATAGGTGTCAAAATAAATATAGCCTGTTTTAACAAGCTACTACTAGCCAATATAATGAAATGTTGTTTTAGTGGAAGGAAGTTTTATTTGTGATACTTCTACCAAAACAATTTTTATCGTTTCGTCTAACATTCAATGCTGTGTTTTCTTTATGTATTTTATTGCAGTTGGACAAATTGTTAGATTTGAAGGGTATTTACTTCTGACTTGGGGTCCTGCAAAAAGCATTAAGAACCGCATAAATGGAAAATCCCTCCAAGACCACAAGTAGGAGACACCCCAATCCCCTTTTCAAAACAAAAGCTACGTTCTACAATCCCACGTTCATAAATACTCGGTTGCGTTTCCTTCTGTCAGGCACAATAAAACTTCCTTTTTCTGAGTTTTTCTTTTAACTGACGAAAAACCAACCTCCTCTCAGAAGAGTAGGCGGCCATCTTCTTTTCTTTTGTTCTCACCGGAGCAGCTGGTTTGATTGGAAAAACGGTTTTAACAGAATGTCGAGTCAAAATTGGGTTTCATTCCGCCTGATGTTTTATTGTAACTTTTCTATCGAGTCCAAAAGAAAGCGACCCTATTGTATCACTTGAGGTTTTTATTGACATTGGACGATTTTTCGAGGATCGGTTGTTTCAGTGTGTGTGTACTTTTATGCTTCTCTGACAGCCTATCTTCCAAATATTAAAGAAGCATCTATTCCTTGCCGCCGGCCGATAGAAAACCGTTCATCTGTGCATTAAATTGACGTGGAAAATTTTATTAATAGAGACTGATCTGATCTCTCTTTTTATTTGTCAGTTTGTTACAATCTCTGCTGTTGACGCCTCGAATACATTTATATTATGAAATCGTTTTTAAAGTATTTCTTAACAGTAGTTTTCTTGAAATTACTTTCATAGGAAGCAACTCTTAAATCGCAATAAGAATATAACATGTATGTTATAGAGACTATTATGTTGTTTAAGCTGGAAACGTGAAAAATAACTGAAATTTGTTGAAATTCGAAGCACATGTTTTCTAACTACTAGCAGGATTTGTTAACCACCTACGTCACGACAGCACTCACGAGCAAGACGGGATAGTTCTTGATAACAGTAAATCGATTAACCAAATAAGGGAGAACATAATATAACGGAATGTAATAATATAATGGTAAATAATTATAATAACGATTAATCATATAATATAGCGATATGATAATATAATGTAACGGTAAATCGATTAACCAAACAATGGGGAATATAAACATTTTACTCATAAGGGTACAGTCGCACATTTAAAACAGAGCTTATCTATTGGAAAATATTCATATAAGTACGCTACGAAATTGCATTTTGTTGATTTAACGTTTCGTAATTGTGCAATAATCAACAAATTATTGATGGTAATCATTTCAAGAGACCATTAAGATTTTCAGTGCCAGAAAAATTAAAAATCAAATGTGCACAAAAAATTAGAATGCGAACAATGGATCTTCCAGTCATAAGTATGTGATCACCATTTGTACTACAAGAGCTCGCACTAGGGATATAATAAATCCTTCCCACTCAAATGGCGATGGTACCAGCACGAGACTCAGCCGACCAGATTCAAGCTGTGATGAATTATAGTCCCGCGTTTTGAATTCCAAAAATCAAAGAACATACAAAATCAAAGGCTCCGGGATTTAAACTATGGCAATGCTGTTTTGGCTAAACCATGCACTGGAAAATGCAATCATTCCTTTTACGTATATTATTATTAACTTCTGATTCATTATATTGCTATTACTTATAAAGTGTTTTCTCCCTTCTTTCGCATGTCTTTGTGGAGTAACTGAAAGCACAGTCAATACCTATTCGAGAGGTTTGGAGTTCAAATCCGGCCATTGTATTGCACATTTTTCATTTTCCTTCATCGATATAACCAAGTAACTGTGGCGCCCGAACTAAACCGATGGCAGAAGAGAATTCGTCTGCACCAGGATTTGGCAATTGTGTTCCCTAGTCTTCGGACTGCCTTTAATAGGGGGAGCATATAAGATATTTTCTTCCTTTCTTTTGCCTGCCTTCGTGGTGTAACTGCAAGCACGCTGGACGCGTATTCCAGAGGTCCGGAAGGCGAATCCCAGCCAGCGTATTACCTATTTTTCAATTGAGAAACACTTCATACTAATTCACTGATATCGTTTCCATGAAATTCATTGCATAAAACCCGAAGCCCGAAGACATTATAGTACAGAGGTTCTCAACCAGAAGGAATTCCCACCTGAGGGGTGGATTTTAAAGTTTCAGGAGGAAATATGGGTCAGCCTTTCGTCTTTTTTTTAAGTATTTAATTTTATTTTATGAATGCAATAAGCTACTTGTATTCAAGTTTTGGTACTCATTAACATTTTCTATACATTTTTTTGTTTAATTTATAAAAGATATTAAAAATATTCTGAATTTAAATAAATGGTTATGTGTATTTTTCGAATTTGGAAAATAGGAATGGAATGATCTTCCAGCAATGGTGAAAAGGATGCATGGAATAATATGAAAAAAATTAGTTTAAGTTAAATGATCAGTTCACCTTTTTTTTAAAAAAAATCAGTTCTTCTTTCTGTCAACTGCTGTTTAAAGAAAAATTGAATCCTGTTTTTCTACAGAAATATCCACTTCAGTGTTTCTGTTAATTTCATTTCGGAGAAGCCCCAAAATTTACGAAGTAACAATTAGGGTTACATGTCGCTAGCTAACAACAGTAATTATTTATTAGGCTTCAATTAATGTGCAGTAAATTCCTATTAAAAGTCAAAGAAAATTCTAGAGTTCAGGGACAAATGTAATGTAACACTGACAATAATGCTAATGCTGGATAAAAAATTTGATGAACACAGCTGCAGAAATACCGGATAAAAATTTTTATAAATATACCTGGAAAAATATTAGTTGCAGCACACACATATATAATTATTTAAGAAGTCTCTCTTACAGAAATAAAAGCAGCATTCTTTGAGTGAAAATTTGATAACTGTTTTCCTTTTCGAAGGACTCTATCTTCGAAATAGTCATTTATGGATGCCAAACATGCTGTGAATGATTTTCAGTGTATTTTATGCTTCAGTGTATATTATGTTGTAATAATATATCTTTATGTAAACATCTTGTGATACAAAAAACAATTTTCATTAAAACTGTTAGTTTTCTTTCTAATTGCACATTTAAATATTACATTAACTGTTCCTTAAATTCTGCTTTATATTTAGTCCAAACGGCGTTAGCCCGGAAGGGCTATTAATTTCGTATGGCATTTTGCATTGAAAATTTTAAATGTCCGTTTCACTTTTCAAATTGTTGCCACCCAAATATTATCTGTTATAGTTAAAGAAATTATTGTGTTATATTTAAGTTATATCTCTGTGTTATATTTAAAGAAATTAGATAATGAAGAAGCTGCATAAATGTGTGTATGTTTCTTGCATTGTAATAAAACAACGGTACCTACAGATATCCAATTGTGAATAATGTAATCTTCCCCCGAATATGGGCATCTGGAAGTCCTAATTTTGAATTTGTTTTATTATGTATTTCATATTTTGTAAAACTGTAACGAATTTTTGATCAACAAACTCAACGATTTCAAAGCGAGCAATGAAATACTGTACGGAAAGAAAGCATTTTTATCTGCAGCGCGCTAGACTGTGCATAGAAAATTCTAAAGATATGTTCTTTTTAAATTATTTTGCGATATTGCTGTTGTATTGAATTTTATGCTTTAAGTGCGAAGAACATGATATTTAATAAATAATGGTAACGCACAAAGCATTAAAAATACGCTCCTTTGGGCGTAATATAAAATCTGAAAGCTTTCAGTTTTTTTTTTTTTTTTTTTTTTTTTTTTTTTTTTTTTAACTTATTATCAATATAATCTTTTATCTCTTATTCAGAGGCTATACAGCGTGGAATTCATTCAGTTTTTGGAACGGGGTCTATGGTACATATCTGCTTACAATGATGGCGACCAAGCACTGGACATTAGTTTTGAAACCCAGAGTACAGGTATGATCGAACATTAGCCTACCCTGAAATATAAATCCTTACCTCGTCTTTTAACCTGAAGCAACGTAAAAATGTTTGTAACGTGCCTTACATCGTTGCTTATGTGTTAGCTGGGTGCAAAATTATATTGTATCTCGTCATGGTTAAGAATGAGATAAGTCTCTAGGTATGTTTTTGAACAGGTTTATTTTTTAATAAATTACAGCTGCGTTTCCGAGAAAGGAAATTTTCATCTTGAAAAATTTAAATTAAAAAATGTTGATACGAAGTAATACTTGCTCATAATTTACGATAAATTTAATCAAATTAAAAATTTTCTCTCTTTCTGTAAAATTACTGAATTGGCGACTTGTAATTTGTCGCCAAATTTGCCAATGTTAAAATTGCTCTTGACGATTTATTACTTGCGCCCAGCTAACATATAAGTGATGTTAGTTCTAATGAAAGTTATGTTATGTAAATTACGCGAAAGTTAAAAAAAAATTCATAAAATTAAGTCAGAGGTGATAATTTACTGTTTGCAGTCATTCTTCTCTTGAAATTTTTATAGCAGTTATTTTTATATTTTATTCAAAAATAACCTCCCGTTGAGTACATTGTAACTTTCTGTTAAAATGATTAACACTTTCCTGAAAACAAAGCTGCTTTCAAACCACATGAAATGTAAACCATTAAACATCTTCCAGATTAAATTAGGGCATCGCTTGTCGCTATAACGAAGTGAACAATTTAAAACGATGCCTATATTCTTTGCCTGTCAATGTATTTGGATTTTTTTATTTTGCTGATTTCGTTTTAAAACGCTTTACACTCATAGAAGAATTACAAACAAAATGCTCCAGCTGCTGGAACTAAAACATTTTTGTTACTGATTTCTGTATTCGAATGTTATTTTCAGAAGGATTCTGATAACGCTGAAAAAGAATATGTATGGTTCTGTTGCCATTAGATGTTCCAGAATTATAGAAGTATGTTTCATGTTTCATTTGCATTTGTCATTGTTTGCAAAAAATAAACAATTCAAAATAAATTGTTAGGTTAAACCTAATTGACTCGTATTCACTGTGTAACCCTTTTGTGCTGCACACGACTTGCTCTTTTATCATTTAATAATAAGTTTAGAACATTGAGAACATAAACAAAAGGTAAAATTAGCTATCGTATTCAAAACTTGCTGATTCTGCTGACGATGGAGTTGCAATGCACCTCCGAATGCAGTCATAAGACTTATTCGCTTGTAAAATTAACATTCGTCCTACATTCGCTTGTAAAATTAAGAGAAGTTGCACATTATGTCGAATCGGTATGAATATACATTTATATCAGAGTAAAAGATGTCATTTCCAAAGTCAAAATCATTTTATGTGTGCAAGGCTATCAGTAACGCTCATAGTGCAGAGATGTTCAAAGTCCATGTTGTCATATCGAACTGAAAATAAGACTAATATGGTGTATGGTCCACTTTCACAGCTAGACATGTCGCGCAGCATGATGGTGAACTGGACGAGAGGCGGTTGAGGTGTATCCGTTAAATTAAGGCAGTTTTTAATTGCGGAAGTTTCTTGGAGGAGTAAATCTGGCTGCCCAATCCATGCGGCAAATTTCCTCACTTTCCAGGTAATCATCGACCATCTGAGACCTATGCAAACGAGAGCTGTCGTCCATTAACAGGAATCCAAGACCAACTGTTCTCCTGACGAAAACAATACAGGGCTCTCAGATCTCATCTCTATACCTCATAGCAGTCAAAAAGTCTTTTTCAAACACATGTACGGTTTTGCAGTTCATGCATAGCCAATAAAGCATATCCAAACCATTATACTTCCACCGTAATAATCTTTTCCTCAGATAAATAAGAGATCATAAGGTATTTTTCTCGCTCCTTTCCGCATGCCTTCGTGGTGTAATTGGGCGCATACACGACGCATAATCCAGAGATTCGGGGTTGGAGTTCCGATGAAGGCATAACTCATTTTTCACGTCTGCTGCTTTCAAAACACGCTTAAAGGTAACTAGGCTAAATTTACGCAAACATCTTTGATGCCAAACCTATGCAGAGAGGAGATACGTGGGTCATATACTGACAAGAGCTGTTATTTAAGATTTGTCCACTTTTGGATTAAAATGAAACTGTCTTCTGTCTGTTGTTCTCGACTCCGAGTAGGTTACCATTATTTCATTAGTTCACTAATATCAGTGATTTTCAGGTATGATTCTGTAAGACGCACACTGATGCTGCTCACTTGGGGCTCGCTAGCAGCGATCTTCACAATCACGTCTGCTACTTCATTTTCCTATAATACCAGTACAAAATAGTACCTATCAAAGCTTGGGCCTCAGCCTTGCAGGAAGCGATATTTTTTTTATTACCTTGACTAGAAGATGTTTACTGCAGTCTGCAAGCTTTACATTGAATCTGATTAAATTACAGTATACCTTAAATTACTAGTCCAGAACCTAATTTTAAGGCTAAAAATTCCACTTGGAACGCTGAATTATTGGCATGGAATTTGAAACTTCTTAACCAAATTCATTTAATTTATATCAATTAGCTCATTAAATTACATCATTAAAACACCAACATCTAAATTATTAAAAGATAACTTTATTTTTTTAAACTTGCTCAATTTCTAAGCAATTAAAAATAGATTAAAATCGAAAAATAGATCAAACATTTTAATTTTTGTCGAAGGACAGAAATTCAAGGATTTGAGAGCGGGATCCTGTGTAAGCCTAGTTAAAAGCCTTATGTTTAGCATACTTCAACTCTCATCAAGGCGAAAGCATGATGTATTCGCGGTAGTCTTAACATAACGCTGAAACATTTAGGAAGGAATCGGAGAAAATGTTTTAAAAGTTGAAACGGTTTATCAGTTGACGAAGCAAACAATCCTTTTCCTATGTATTTTAATTGCATTGTCACTTTTACAATGTCAAAAAGAATCTGTCGAAGTGTAATCGGGGACTAGAGTTAATTAAATTCTCTTTATAAAATTTGAGGATAATCTAAAGGGCGTCTAAAATATTACCTTACAAGTTATCTGTTATTATTATCTGTTATATACAATTAGCTTTTAGTATGCTTTGCATACATTAATTACCTTTACTTCCTAGATGAATCCAGCTTGACTTGCCCTTACGACTGTCATGGTCATGGCCGCTGCGTTATGGGAAACTGCGTCTGTAGCCCAGACTTTGCTGGAGATTCTTGTGCTTATCGTAAGTAGGAACTGATATTCATGGTATACTCATAATATCAATATGATGAGATATATATTACTATTTTATTATGCATTTCGAGCATTTAAATATATTATCACTTACATTTTACAATACGTCCTCAAGGGTGGTTGCAAGAGTATACTAAACTAAGTATGTCGTATATCCTAGCCATTTCCATCCCCCCACATTTTGTTTTACTAATTTTATCGTCCAAAACCCTAGAGGGTAAAATTATGAGAATAATTTAATTTCCAAAAGTTGTAGAGTAAAAACATAACAAAAGAAATAAGATACCTTTATTTCTGCTTCCCTTTAACCTCATCCTTTCTTTTCCTTGTTAGCTATAATTTAGGTCTCAAAGTCACCTATAAATAATTTTAGAATGTGCTGCTGATTCAGAGAATTCTTAGATCGAAAGACAGATCGTGTTTGCTTCGCTGTGACTGGTAGGCTTTTGTGTTAGGCCGCATAAAATTCAACACTTAGAACGGAAAATTTCGGCATGTCATTCGTGAGAGTTTGTCTTTGTTAATAAGACGAAAGCAGTCACTGTATGAATGAATCTTATTTTGATATTTCGAGAAGCTCGTCCTATAAAGCACTGAGAAAGAGAAAAATTGAGCGAATATTTTTAAAAATTTCAAAACCTGGGGCTTGAAAGCAAGGAGGGTCTAATACCGGGAGGAAATACGGTAAGTACTATGCAACAACACTTAGGAAGTAGGGGCACTCTGTCAGATTACTTAAACCATCCAGCAGGGGCGTCAGGTCAAAAGTCGGTTATCAAAAACTTCATTTTACTAACTGATTACTTACGTAATTATTATCGACTTGTTTTCTGAATATTCAATGAATTAAAGAAGAGGATAAAATAATAAAAGATTCGGTGTCTTGATGTTTACATTATCCCTGCTATATGTAAAATACAACTGTTTATGTTTTTTACTCATGGCTACCATTATAAAAGATAGCCAATATATTTTCAGAAGTAGTGAAAATTGCTCAAAATTTTGTAGAGACCTTAGGATTTTTTTGGACGCCAGAGAGATGAAAAAGTAGCAACCGCCTTCGCCAGGAATCAAACCACGAACCTCTGAAAACTGGCTCAGTGTGCTGACCGCTACACCACGAAGGCACGTTAGGAAGGCGGGAGAAATACCTTAATGTTACCGATAAAGCATAAGATTTTCTTCTATAAAACTATTTAAAAGAAGTTACAATACATGTGCGTTTTGCGAAATCGGATGATCTCTGTAGCGTTACTTGGATCACTAATCAGTACTAATCATAAATTATGAAAACATGTTGATATGTCGAGATTTTAGTTATTCCGATTCAGTATATTGTTGCGTTCTTACGGACACGTGGATTTGGAGTGATTAACAACAACACTTAATGAAGAAAGAAAACACAATTTATTAACCAATATTATTCAGGACAGCTCCGAAAGTGCTTTACAATCGTGGAAAAACTGCGATAAACACGCTGAAAGAACCAGCAGCACAGCCATCAGGCTATAACGGAGAAGACAGCTTCACGGTGAAGCATTAGAGTACAGCTCCCGGCTCGGTTCCGTCGTTCTCGGAATTCTACGTACTCTCGAGGCTCTCCACTCTACAACTCGCGATGCACTCAATAACTTCAACGATGCACACTCTCGATGCACCAATTCGCGATACACTAACGAGACTAATAACCTAATAACACTGAACAAAATTAGTAACTTTTCGAAATCATCAAGAATTCGTGTTTTAAATCGAAAAAGGATTTTGAATTTCCTGAAATATATCCTCTGTTTTTTTGCTCAGACTTCGTTACTCAATCTGGGTCCTCCATTTAGGTTATTGCGTACAGAGAACTCGCTGCCAGATATTTTCAAGAGCTTGCCTGCTACTTTCTTACCAACGGTTTTTTTTTTTTTTTTTTTTTTTTTTTTTTTTTTTTTTTTTCCTTCGTGTTCTTGAGTTTAATTACGGAATCCACAATGCTTCATTCTTTTGCACTCTCAAATTCGATTTCGCAGTTCCTAATTCCTTATTTCAATTTCCCTAAAGTTCTTGAATTTGGTGCCATACATATTTATGAACGAATAGGAAGAGGCTTACTTGTGCTCTGGATAGTTTATCTCTGGTAACTTACTATGGTACACTGCGCAAAAAAAAAAAAAAAAAAAAAAGGGGGGGGGACAGTTCTATATCTTCCTTTCTATTGGGCCGATCGACAAAATTCAAATTGTGTTTTCATGTCTCGAAACCGCGACTTAAGATATGTATTAGATTTATATATATAGCATATTCTAACATATATATATTTTGACACAGAATCGACTTTTTCTAAAATAACATACTATTTTTTTTTCATATTTCGATTCTACGACCCAAATTATGCCTAGATATTAAATTTTGTAAAATTTGGTGCGAAATTTACGCATAAATTCAAAAATTTTTCTTTACGCAATTTTTTTCAGTTTTTTTTTTTTTGAAGAATAATTCACTTGGCGAACTTCTTAATATGTGGCAACTAATTTTTTTTTTCGCTTCCATTCTGGAGCGGAAAAAAGGCCCCTCTTTCCTACATTTTTACATTGTGCATGAGCGGAAAAAGTCACGTCGTTTCTACTGCCAAATAATTTTAGCAAAACCACATTTGATGTTTTATCGCTTTCAAGAAATATGCCAAATTTCAAAACGCGCCAATATATAAATTCACGTATATCTTCCTAAATTTTGAATAAAAACTGTAATTTTTTGTAGGTATGCTTAGAAATACGTCTACTTTAAGATGATAGCAAAAATGTTATAGATTATAATTCAAAAATATTTTTGAAAAATTTATAAAAATTATTTAAAAGTAAATCATAAAAAATGGGTGAATTTTATTTTGAATGCGACTAAATTTCGAAATGGGAAAGGAATAATCAAATAAGTTTAATAAAAAATAGAGAATAATAAATATATACCAAACTCTATTAACATTGCGGAGCTAAAATTTTGAGAGCTAATTTTTTAAAAACTACTCGTGCAATTTTTACAAAAGTTTGGGGTAATTTGAGTCGTAGAATGGAAATATGGAAAAAAAATTGGTATGTTATTTCAGAAAAAGTCCGATTTCTCTATATGAGAACAATACTATATATGAATCTAAAACATATCCTAAGCCGCGCTTTCGAGACATGAAAACGCAAGTTGAATTTCGTCAAGCGGCCCAGTAGTTTTTTTCGCAGCATACTTCAATCAGTCATAGTCTTATTTACTTTTACATACATCTGGATGTTGTTATTATTCATAGTTTTCTTTCACTTTTAACAATAATCAAATTATCACTGCTATCTGCATTTTTCATTTATCATATAATTTGAACATAAAAAATGCCAAAGTTTTTTATAAACCGAAAATTGCCGTTATAGCTGAGCAAAAGTATATTCAAAATAGGAAAAATCAGTGTAAACTTTTAATAAAGCGTCTAAAACTGCATCTTTTACTAGCGATATTATAGTTTTTGCCTTATATAATTTTATCAAATTATATTTATTTATATACACAGTTGGCCATTAAAATTGCAACACCAGGAAGGCATAATCCGATGAAAGTCAAAATAACATAAAAGGAAGAGATTGGGATATGTAAATGATTAGCATTTCAGCGCATTTATAAGAGGCAGGAGGGAGAAGCGACATCTGAAGCACTGCATAAAATAAAAGTTGTGTAGTAGATTTCTTATTCGGAAAGCGCTTTGTAAGGTGCGGTTTGCTCAAAATATCGTGTTATGTCTCGACTAAGAAGAAGAAATACAAGGGTCGGAATTCGATAAGAGGTAGGATAGTTTCCTATCGACAATGTGGATTATCGTTCCTACATATCGCCGGTAGCACAGGTCGACATCCAACCACTGTTATGCGAATATGGAACCAATGGGTTGCACTGAAGGGCATGCGAATTCTGAACGCCCTCCCATGAATAACGCCCGAGAAGACAGGCATATTGTGAAGTCAGCACTTGAAAAACCGTACGACCACATCACGGACCATTAGTGGGGGAAATGGGCATGTATGCGGCACGTCCAGCATCCCCTCGTTTGGTGCGTCGACGTTTGCAGCAGCGTGGACTATCAGCACAGCGACCATTACTTCGTCTTCCCTTGACAATGCAAGCATAGAGACGGCGACTCTGGTGCACTGAACGATAAAGCTGGATACAGGAGTGGCACAATGTTGTCTTTGTCTTTCTCGACGAGTCTCGGTTCTGCGTGCAGCAGTATTCTGATGGCCGTATACGTATCTGGAGGCTCCGATGTAACCGCACGTCGACTGCTTACATTCGATATCGGCACAGGGGCCCTGCACCTCATGTGATGGTTTGTGCAGTCATTGGCTATACGACAAGCACATCTCTGGTTCGGATTGACGGTAATTTGAACGCAGATCGGTACATTTCTGACGTCTTACGTCCAGTGACTGTGCCCTATGTTCAAGGCCTGTCAAGCGCTATCTTCCAACAAAATAATGCAAGACCACGTGTTGCACGTCGTGTTCTAACCTTCCTCGATACACAAGGTAGGGTATTCGATTGCTGCCGGCCTGCACGGTCTCGAGATCTGTCAACCATTGAAAACATACGGTCATGGGTTGGTGAGAGACTGGCCCGCTACCCCTCCTCAGCTAATACGGTTGATGAAGTGGGGCATAGACTCGAAGCAGCAGCATGAAATGAGTTGCTCGTTTCTGTCATCCAAGCCCAGTTCGACTCCATGTGTAATAGCGTAAGGGCAGTTTTAGCTGCCAGTGGTGGCAGCTGTTTCTGCTAATTTCGCCCCCTATAAACTCCTAAACTGCTTGCAAATTTAATCATTTTGTCTTTCTACCATACTGTTTACGTACAATAAGTATCTTTTTTGTATTTGCTTTCCTTCATGGTATTGTAATTTTAATGGCCAGCAGTGTCTATGTATATGTGTATGATTTAAGTATTGAAATTAAATAATAATTGAAAAATGTATAT